ACCTGCCACCACCACCACGTGAACAAAACATCCCACAACATTTACTTAGATTGTAAATGTTGGGGTTTTACTCTCCCATCTAACCCAAAAAACCTCTATTGTGGATTATGATCATGATTACTGTGTTGGCAGCGTCTAACACTTGTAAGATTTCAGGTGTGAACTCGTGTTTAAATGTTTTTCTAATATAGTGTTTGTGTGTGTAAGACACATTTCAACAATAATTTAAGTTGATCAAACGCCCTTAAACAATGGCTCTCAGGGTGCTATGCATGGAAAGGCAGAAAATAGTTAAACATCAACCAAGGAAAGAAGAAGGGAGAAAGACTTTTGAAAATAACAAAACAGGGAGAGAAATCCATTTTAAACAGATGCGTTTTTAGTCGAGATTTGAAGATGTGTAATGGCTCGGAAGTCCCCTTGACCTTGAAGGGCAGGGAGTTACAGAGTTTAGGTGGCGCAGTTGCAAAGGAGCCATCACCACCCCCCAAGTGTGTAGCCTAGAGACCGCGGGACAGTGAGCAAATCTCCAAATCACCTGGAATGCACTCAACGGAGCATCTGAAGCTTGGCAGAGTTGAGCCTCGGTAGTGCTTGAATGGATGACCGCCGTGCATGCCAAGCTGTCATAGGCAGCCGCAAAGCTGTGCACCGTGGTGGCCAACAGAGGGCAGTTGATTCTAGATTTGAAGTTTTCGTGACTGCAAGGATCTATACTCTGGTTCTTTCGGTAGATGAAAATAAAAATAAACTAAATTAAATCACGACGTTTCGGAGGCAACACAACCAACCACAGCAAAAAAAAACAATTTACTGTAGTGCTGTGGTTGTCCCACCTGATGACGGAAGCTTGTGTTGCCTCCGAAACGTCGTGATTTAATTTAGTTATTTTTATTTTCACCTACGTGACTTTACCGAAAGAACCAAATAGTATGCAACAGAGGGCAGTGCAGCAAACTATATTATTGTACTGTGATTCTATGATCCCACAGGACTACGTTGCCCAACCTTAGCAACCGCCACTGACCAGCGTGGTGAAGTATAACCAAATAACCCCAACCACCCGCATGGCGTGACGGGGAGACGCTCATCCAGCATTGGTAGAAGAAAATGGTCGTGCTTGCAAATAACATATATTGTCCATAATAGAGGTTTTTGGGTTAGATCGCGTAAATATGTAAAAGTGTCGTTAAAACCGCCACCACCCGACACAGCCAACTAGTAAGGGTTGTCACGTAAACTGAACGTGGCCAATTCGTCACTAGTACAGCACTAGTGTATAGTGTAGTTTACTAGTACACCACACCGGTGTGTTGGAGAGCCAAGCCACAACATTTATAATCTGAGTACGACGTAATTACAACTAGCTTCATCAGGCCAAATCTGGCTGTCGCCTGATGAAGCTAGTTGTAATTACTGGCGAAACGTCGTACTCAGGTTGTAAATGTTGTGGCTTGGCTCTCCAATACACTGGTGTGCTGTACTAGTATACTACACTATATACTACACTACTATACACTACACTATATACTACACTACTATACACTACACTACACACTAGTGCTGTACTAGTGACAAATTGGCACGTTCTGTTTACGTGACAACCCTTACTAGTTGGCTGTGTCGGGTGGTGGCGGGTTTTAAAGACACATTTATATATTTACAAGATCTAACCCAACAAAACCTCTATTATGGATGATAGTGATCGCGAAAACATACGTGTTAAACTAACATAAATTGTAATAAGATATATGCAAATGTTGTGTTTATGCAAATGGTGAGAACGACTGAGATGGGAAAAATGGGGTACTGCAAACAAGGCAGACAGAAGAGACGAGACACGCAATAGTAAGATATTGCGGACAAGGTACGCGGTGCAAATGTGTCGGTACGGATGCAACGGTGCAGACAGAACGAGGCAAGACGGCCCAAGCAAGACATTACAGGCGGGCGAAGATGGCAGAGATGAAATAGCGCACACAAAACCGTACAAACAAAACGAGAATAATCCTCAATCCATGAATCAAATTGCGACCCTGAGTCGTTAATTGAATTTTCCATCACGAGATGGTGGTGCATTCTTAACATGCCCGGTGTGTTTGTGTTTACGTCATTACTCTATGTGGAATGCTAATGCAGTGGTTCGTGCACTGCACTACGAACCCTGTAAAACTGAGTTTAAATCACAGCCGTGGCTGAAAAGTGGTGTCTGAACCTGGTCTAGCCAGGCCTTGCCCATAGCTTCATATGATGAGTGCCTGGTACGGTGCATAAATATGCACGCTGAACTTCTTTCGCACCGTACGTAGCTAACCGAGCTAATCGGGGCTGGGACTAGCACGGTATATTGGCGCTGGGGAGACAAAGGTGAGCCCGGCGTGGTAATAACCACACCATCCATTCACGTGCCGCGCTGATCTTAGCAGATGCTCGCTAACAGCATTTTCCCCCAACAAAGTGATGTAAGGCTCCACTGGGGCTCTTTGAACAGTGACGGCTTTTTCTTTCACCGAAATGTCATAGCGAGCGTGCAGCAGTAATAAAATGTGGAAATGACTGTCCCACAAGAGTTAAGTGTGGTCGGTACTCGCTGCATAAGCCCACAATGTAGCACCGCACACCCCTCCAACAAGCATGGTGATTGCCCTTCCAAGCACTATCCTGGCTCAACCCCGCTTAGCTTCCGAAATTTGAAGAGATGTACGTCATTTCACACCGTAGGTAGCCTACCTAGCTAATCGGAGGTGTGGGGGAAGGATAACAAACTGAACACAATGCATAAGCTCGGTCCCGTCCGTGTGTATGTCTGCAATGGGAGGGTCAGAATAACATTTAGAAATATGACCCAGCATATGGCTGAAGATTTAGTACAAAGTTGCGTTATTTGTAGGGACTTACCCGATAAAAAAAAACTCAGATTCATGAAAGGGTTGCCCAAAGACTTGGCGACTAAAACCAGCGCTGAAAGAACAAAACTTTTGTGGGGCCAAGGAGATGACGTCACTCGTTCGACTCCCCGTAACGCCATGACGCTCGACGTCACCCCGATGTCGTCTCGTTGCGCGGCTCAAGAACGTAACATCGTCGTCGCCCGTGAAATGCCCTCCCGAGGACAAAACGCATCGGTTTGCGAGTACGTTTGCCGTTTGCGCCGTTTATTCGAGCGCGAGGCTTGTCGCGAAGATGCAATGGTTCACACGCTGGGTATAGTTTGCCTTAGTTTTTCGATGGGGCGCGGTGGGAGGGGGGGGGTCTATGATTGTTACGCGTGATCAACCCTTCATTAAATTGCGAGCAATGTGATAAAGGTGGAAAATTTGAACCGTGATGCAGCACACGCGTGGCCGACTCTTCATTGAACAGCATCACGTGATCGTTAACGTCCGCTGTGAAGGCGACGGCGTGGAGTACTCATGGTTTATACACTTGTAGTGTTAATACACTTGTAGTATTAACCAGGGCGGTGGCAGGGGCTGTACCAGGGCGGTCGCGGGGTCTGAACCACAAACCTACGCAGCAAGAAATGAAAGCGCTGCAGTTCGGCCTGTCGCCGCCCCGATCAACCGTTCTCGCTTCATTAACGTGATTAAAAGAGACTTTAAAATTACGGCCAAGCTCACTGTCATAGTACTTTAGTGGTGCTATTGCGCCGATGCTGAAGTGTATCTTCGACGGCACTGTCGTGCTACGATTGGAGTGCCTCTCTCTGTGACCTTAAATCAAATCAATTCTAGAACTGCGCTGACAGTGGTGCAGGTGCACGCATATTGGGACCGCCCCCCCCCCCCCCCCACGGAGATGGAATCCTCGCAGCGATCATTCAAATACAAGCACACGGGCGTTACGGTGGCGACATGTCCGATACCTCACCTTGTATACAGGAGGGCCTGAAGCCTGCTGTATATTTGGAGTTTGCAAGTTTACCTGTGGTGGTGTGGATTTTTTAAAATAAAATATTTAACGTTTTTTCCATTTTAAACAACGTAGCAGTAAAAAAAGCCTAAAAATGACTATTATACAATATTTACCACGTATCTCATGCATCATGAAATACCTCGTAATAAATTAATGCGGGAGTGGAGCGGTGCCATGGTATTTAAACTCGCTGCTGTTACTAACCCGGGCCACGGAGAGTTCAGTTCCCGGTCACGGCCAACATCGATAGCTCGCGATACACGAACCCATCTTGGGTGCTGCCCCCCCCCCACCCCTCCGGTCAGCCCGTAACTGACCGGCCTGGTGAAGCACGGTTCAACGACCCCCCCACGACCGACACGGCAGGGAGACACCAACATCCGGCAGTGGATCGATACATTATTCATGAATGAGATTGGCCGAAACAGCCCAGTGTAGGACCACCCTGATCAAATAAGTGTTGAGACTCGGCGAGCCTTTCCTGGGTAAATGAACCGTTTAGTTTGAGTAGTTTAGAATGACTCCCCTAAGGGCTTCCACTCCCGAGCCCCAAAGAACACCGCTAAGGTACTATGACCAAAATGCAGAGAGATCTCACACATTCACACTTCTCCTGACGACCTTTGTTACACGTTGTGTATTTCGGCCTATTTGGGTCACCGCTACGTGACACTGACGTTCCCCTCTCCCATTAAAAATCCCTCCTGCACGGTACCTGGAAACTCGGAAGTCTTCTTCACAATTCCGGAAAATGGCCTGATGGAGCTGGTCGTAATCAACGAAATGTCCGACTCAAATTGTAAATGTTGTGGGTTTACTCTGCAACACACTGGTACCTGAAGTAGTTTTATTCACGTGACAAACCTTACTAATTGGCTGCGTCGGGCGTTGGTGGGGGAACGACGCATTTATACTCACGCGATCTCACCCACCAACAAAAAAAACTTTATTATGAATAATATTGGTCGCGAAAGTCTACGGCGCGTCAAACCGGTGTGCATGCCGCCACGTCCAATGCGTACATGTGATTTGTCCTCCCCTCGGTTTCCCTCTTTTCTTTTCGCTCGGCGCGCTGTGCCACCCAGCTGCTCGACCCGCCGCAGACGGACGTGAAGCTGTTGTCGGCCGTGGGCGCCGACCTCGCCGCCAAGCAGTTCCTGCTGGCCAGCGCCGGGGTCGGAGGGTCAGCGGGCGGCGCCGGCGGGCAGCCCGTGGTCGGGCGCATTCCCGTGATCCTGGCCACCGGTGACGGAGGGGCAGCGCAGCACCTTCAGGTGAGAGAGAGAGAGAGGCAGCTTGCTCGGTCGCTCGCTCACTTCCCCACAAGCGCTTGCGGAGCCGACTTCGTCAAAGAGTCCCGTTGGGAAGTTCTACAACCTCCGATTAGCGCGGTTGGCTATGTACGGTGCGAAAGAAGTTCAGCATACATGCATACATACAAGGCAACCCTGCACTTGCTTAGGCCACTGCTGGAGGAACAGTCTGCCGATCGACGGAGTCCACGAGAGGGAGTTCCAGATAGTCCCTTCCGTTTGGGTTTTATTTTGCCTACTCTTCCATTGTGCACTGCACGTTTAGCGCAACCCAAGAAGTAGTGTACGTGGTCTCTCTGGCGTAAGAACTCCCCGACTCGAATTTCTTACGACGTGGCGAAGCTGCCTGGCAGTAGCGCACTCGCTGCTCGTTGCAGAGGGTCACGGTTCGAATCCGGCGGCCGCCCCGATTCTATTGCCGCACGGGTGTGATGACCGTAGTAATACCACAACGCGCCGTCTGCTTCACACCGGATGCTAAACGATCTCTTGACGTCGTTCGCTAGAGTAGGCCATTTTGCGTGCTGGTATCGAGGTCCAGATTAGCCAAATTCGTCGTCAGCAGGGTGACGTGTCGCCCACGGCGGTGGCGTGGGTGCCCCCTCGCTTCTCACAGAGGCCGCCCCGCCCAGGATTAATCGCGCGAGTTTATTAACCGTCGTGGGACTCCTCTACTTACGAACAGGGACTCCTCTACTTACGAACGAGAGGTCTGTTCGTAAGTCGATTTGTTCGTAAGTCCAACTTTACTCCCGTCGATTCCAAACACGTTGTACGGCATGTACACTAAATGCGGGGAAGGGCTTTAAAAGTTGTTTAATCTCCTGTGCATGTAGATGCCACTGGTTCTTCACGTTCTGCATATGTAGATGCCACCACCGTCATCTAATGCGCGGTGGTTGAACTTACGACTCTCGGTCCGAACAGGCAACTGTGGACATCAGACAGGTTTGTTCCTATCTATGAAAGTCCAATGGTCGTAAGTAGAGGAATCTCTGTTTATAAAACTAAACTGTGTTTATTTTTACTAGGTAAGGCTCACTGAGCTATACAGCTCTTTTTCAGAAGCAACCGACTATAATTTATAGCTCAACGAAGTGGCTTATCACGTGGAAATTTGTTGCAGCCAAATACTCTTACATGCATGTCTCTAAATGTGGAGGGAAAAACCGGAGCACCCGGAGAAAAATCTACGTGACCACGGCGAGAACATGCAAACTCCAAATATTTAGGTGTCAGAATCAAGATCACATAATGACCCATAGACTCGCATAGTGACCCATAGACTTGCATTGGGACCCATAGACTCACATAGGGAGCCATGGATTATTATGTTGACCCATATACTCACAGAGACTCATCGACTCACGTATGGACCCATATACTCTTATATTGACCCATATACTCAAACAGAGACCCATAGACTCACATATGGACCCATAGACTCTTATATTGACCCATATACTCACAGAGACTCATAGACTCACATAGGGCCCCATAGACTCTTATATTGACCCAAAGACCACACAGAGACCCATTGACTCACATAGGGACCCATAGACTCCCATAGAGATCTATGACTGCCTATTTTTAAAATAAATAAATAAATATGCCCACTGTTCCTGTGCAGGTTTTCGGGATGCGGTCGCATTTTGATGCCGCATAAAATTTGCACGCTATTGAATTGTGTTGCTTCCATATTGGAGCATTCATTGTGGCTGGGTGCAGTGGGCTGATTTGCACACAGCACACACGCACACACACGCGCACCCGCACGCACACACATGCACGTGCACGTGCACACATACACGCACACAAGCACACCACTCACACGCGTACGCACACACAAGTGCACGCACATGCGCATGCACACACGAGGAATTGAAAGCCTTGGCCCAATTATGCGTTATTGATCACAGGGCCGTATCGACTGCAGAGGATTGAGCATCGACCCGAGCGCGAGGATCGATTGATGCACCCGACGCCTCGTTTAGCCGGCAACGAGAGGCCTTGGCCGGATCAGGTTGGGATGGCAAAACTGGTGTCGGTCACCCAACGCTACGTGCCGGCTTTCCCAAAAATATTTCCATCGCACGGGCTGTTTAAAGCGTTTAAAAATAAATGAAAGTGCTAACCGTGTGGGTTATGTGAGAAGCGCTGAGCCGGCGCTGTCGAGAACCTGGGTTTGAAATCTGGTTTGAGCTGCAGAGCCTGTGATTAAAACTGGGTTCTCAAGTGTAGCGAGTTGATGACCTGAGGCTGGTCACCAATGACTTGTGTAGAAACCCATAGACTGACGTAGACTGAGTTGGGGTTCAACTGGGTTCACAATTGTAGTGAATTGATGGCCCCAGCCCGGACAACGATGCCTTGCTTAGAGACCCAAAGACCTGTATAGAGACTCAAAGACTTGCATAGAGACCCATAAACTTGCTTAGAGACCCAAAGACCTGTATAGAGACTCAAAGACTTGCATAGAGACCCATAAACTTGCATAGAGACTCAAAGACTTGCATAGAGACTCAAAGACTTGCATAGAGACTCAAAGACCTGTATAGAGACTCAAATACTTGCATAGAGACTCAAAGACTTGCATAGAGACTCAAATACTTGCATAGAGACCCATAAACTTGCATAGAGACTCAAAGACCTGTATAGAGACTCAAAGACTTGCATAGAGACTCAAAGACTTGCATAGAGACTCAAAGACTTGCATAGAGACCCATAAACTTGCATAGAGACTCAAAGACCTGTATAGAGACTCAAAGACTTGCATAGAGACTCAAAGACTTGCATAGAGACTCAAAGACTTGCATAGAGACCCAAAGACTTGCATAGAGACTCAAAGACTTGCATAGAGACTCAAAGACTTGCATAGAGACTCAAAGACCTGTATAGAGACTCAAAGACTTGCATAGAGACCCAAAGACTTGCATAGAGACTCAAAGACTTGCATAGAGACTCAAAGACTTGCATAGAGACCCAAAGACTTGCATAGAGACTCAAAGACTTGCATAGAGACCCAAAGACTTGCATAGAGACTCAAAGACCTGTATAGAGACTCAAAGACTTGCATAGAGACCCAAAGACTTGCATAGAGACTCAAAGACTTGCATAGAGACTCAAAGACTTGCATAGAGACTCAAAGACTTGCTTAGAGACCCAAAGACTTGCATAGAGACTCAAAGACTTGCATAGAGACCCATAAACTTGCATAGAGACTCAAAGACCTGTATAGAGACTCAAAGACTTGCATAGAGACCCATAAACTTGCATAGAGACTCAAAGACCTGTATAGAGACTCAAAGACTTGCATAGAGACTCAAAGACTTGCATAGAGACTCAAATACTTGCATAGAGACCCATAAACTTGCATAGAGACTCAAAGACCTGTATAGAGACTCAAAGACTTGCATAGAGACTCAAAGACTTGCATAGAGACTCAAAGACTTGCATAGAGACCCATAAACTTGCATAGAGACTCAAAGACCTGCATAGAGACTCAAAGACTTGCATAGAGACCCATAAACTTGCATAGAGACTCAAAGACCTGTATAGAGACTCAAAGACTTGCATAGAGACCCATAAACTTGCATAGAGACTCAAAGACCTGTATAGAGACTCAAAGACTTGCATAGAGACCCATAAACTTGCATAGAGACTCAAAGACTTGCATAGAGACCCATAAACTTGCATAGAGACTCAAAGACCTGCATAGAGACTCAAAGACTTGCATGGAGACTCAAAGACTTGCATAGAGACTCAAAGACCTGTATAGAGACTCAAAGACTTGCATAGAGACTCAAAGACTTGCATAGAGACCCAAAGACTTGCATAGAGACTCAAAGACTTGCATAGAGACCCAAAGACTTGCATAGAGACTCAAAGACTTGCATAGAGACCCAAAGACTTGCATAGAGACTCAAAGACCTGTATAGAGACTCAAAGACTTGCATAGAGACCCAAAGACTTGCATAGAGACTCAAAGACTTGCATAGAGACTCAAAGACTTGCATAGAGACCCAAAGACTTGCATAGAGACTCAAAGACTTGCATAGAGACCCAAAGACTTGCATAGAGACTCAAAGACCTGTATAGAGACTCAAAGACTTGCATAGAGACCCAAAGACTTGCATAGAGACTCAAAGACTTGCATAGAGACTCAAAGACTTGCATAGAGACTCAAAGACTTGCTTAGAGACCCAAAGACTTGCATAGAGACTCAAAGACTTGCATAGAGACCCATAAACTTGCATAGAGACTCAAAGACCTGCATAGAGACTCGAAGACTTGCATAGAGACCCATAAACTTGCATAGAGACTCAAAGACCTGTATAGAGACTCAAATACTTGCATAGAGACTCAAAGACTTGCATAGAGACTCAAAGACTTGCATAGAGACTCAAAGACTTGCATAGAGACCCATAAACTTGCATAGAGACTCAAAGACCTGTATAGAGACTCAAAGACTTGCATAGAGACTCAAAGACTTGCATAGAGACTCAAAGACTTGCATAGAGACTCAAAGACTTGCATAGAGACTCAAAGACTTGCATAGAGAATCAAAGACTTGCATAGAGACTCAAAGACTTGTGTGGACTCAGAGATGATTAAACTGGATTCTTAAGTAAAGCAAGTTGATGGTCTCATCCTGGGTCACCAATTACTGCCCATTAAAACAAGCCATCACATAAATTTGCTTTTGAATCTAATTTGGCTTAATGCCACATCTTAACAATTAAATGCATCAATTTGACTTCCATGTGATGAGCCGTGACTGGGTGGTCCTTTGTAAATTGGAGCTGTTTATCCCAATGGGTTTTGCCGCCTTCAGTAGGATCTGAGCCTGATTACTCTGTGTGTCAGTGCTTGTGAAAGTGCTGTTCTCCCCTACAGAATCAGAAAATTGTATTCATCCTTGAGAAATCCGATGAGCTATGAAGCTCTTTTTAACAGATATC